GGGGTCAACGAGCCGCACGGCGGCCGCATTAATTAAATAAACGCTGCTCCTATTGCCGACCTTTTTCAACGGTTAATCGTAAAATGTTCGCGAATACGTTGTTCTTTGGTCAATCCGAAACTGAATCTTTAAACGGCATGAATCAATCGCCGATTAACACGTTTGCTGCAGATTTGAAGACGATGGACGCTGGAAATGTAACAAAATTAACACGTTGACCGCTGTGGCATCCATGTCTTGATGACGCATCAATTTATGCTTGAATTTCATGTAAAATGTTCTTACTTATTCAATGATAAATAATTTTATTACATACGTGAAGGTATAGATAGTAAAAATAGCTAAATATCGTCAGAATAATCGATAGTTTCATTGAAAATAAAATTACTGTCAATAACTGTATAACGGAATGTCATGAAAATAATTGATTAGATTTGTTAATAACGAAAATACTACTTAATGATAGTTTTAGTCTATAACTTTACATGATGTAGTTGTATTCCTTATCTGTGACGCTATAATTCTGTCCCTCGCACACCTCGCTGTTGCATACCAATGTACAACCGTGCCCGTAAGCTTTTCGACGGTCACTTAAGTGGTCCTTCATTGATCAAAATTACAACGGATGCGAATATGCGTTGCCTGCAGCTAACGTGTTAATTGACCGATCGGTTAACCCGATGTTCGCCTGAAATGTCCAGATAGTCATGACACGTGTGTCTCTAAGATTGTCGTTGCAGTGGATGCACTTTCTGACGAATAGTGCAGTACTATTACTCTAACAGGAATTTATCTTCCTTTTCTGACATATTTATCGGGAAACGCTTCCTCTGTAACGATGACCTCGTGGAGTTTGCCTACTCTTTGAGCCGACGACGAAACAAACGATCGGATGTGTGAACATAGATACTTAGTTCAAGATATGGTATGAAAAATGCGCGTATGGTTAGCGCATTATGCACGCCAGGGACGCGTTAGTTATGCGTAACGCGGTCTCTTACATAATTTCAAACCGGGATTGTCGCGGATAGTTGATAGTGCATGACGAAACGAAGCACTGATAGGAAATCCTCGCAAAGTACCGGCTACACGAGCAACAGTAAACGATCGTTGACTGATTGCACCGAATGTTGTATTTGCGTACATTCTGCGCTGTTGCGCTTAAACAATCACTTACCGGATGATTGATGTGTTTGAACGAAGGATCCCCGACTCAATGCTTTGTCGAATCTCCCCGAGTCTTGGGACAACGTTTCGTCAATGACTGCCTCTCGATTGACAAAGATCAACCGCGTGTTTGGTTGCCTCTTTCACGCTGAAGCGCAACACAAGCGTATCGACTCGCTAGACTTATGCAAAGCATCCGTCGCAATGTACCAGACTAATCCTAGGGACAACCACGATCGTTCACACGCACTGGCTACGATTCAACCAAAGAACAATGTCCTGGTTTGGTAAGGACTGACCACGAACTCGCGTCAACGAAACAAAGATAACGTTACGTGAATCTAGACACGAAGACACAGTCTGATTTTAATGGAGTTTGTTGATGGATGTCTTCCACCGCAGGATTTTCTTTCCTCTTCCAGTTCCTATCGTCTTTCGGATCGTGACAATGGACTAGAAGCTGCAGCAGCACGCTGCACACCCAGAACGCACCACGCAAGTTCCAGCTGACGTCCTGGCGAATCGAAGAAGTGGGGAGGGGCATACCAGCGCGGGGAACAGAGCAGCCGACCGTGGTGGATAGCCCTCATGGATTTAGATCGGCCCTCGTCGCTCGACAGTTCGCGCGATGCTCCCCAGCGTTTCTCTTGTTTAACGCGAATTCTTCTTTTCAGGTCAGTCGCCTCTTCATCGTCTGAAACCTACCCGGATGTGTTCACCAAGAGAACAATTCACGAGTATGAGCAGTCTTCAGGATTTCTGTGAGCGACGAAGAACGAAGAATCGCGCACCGCTCGTCAATGGTAGTTTGCTGAGCGTCGACCCAGCTCTGGTCCGTCGATCGAAAGCGTCGCGGCGTAACCAGACCATGTTAAGCCGCCTAGAAACGCGTCCCGTCGCCGTGACGGCGCACGTGTGCTGCTCGTTCAGCGCGGACAGAAACGGGTTCGCGAAGCTATTTGATCATCATCGACCACTCCGTCCCTCCTGATGCTTGCTGATCACTCGATGAAGAAGGAGAGCGCGGTAAAAAAAGAAGGGAATACCGGCTGTCAGATCGAGAAAAAACAATGTGTAGTCGACCAACCGCGCGACACTGAATGAACTTGTCTCTGACCCCGACACATCCTGCTCCGTTCTCGAATCTTAACCCTCCAGTCTACCACCCTATCGCAAGTTCCGCCCCCTTGCTCTGCTTTACCATTAGAGTTTTTTTCACGATGATGGGGTATTTTCTGCAGGTTTCAGCTTTGGTAAAAGAACTTTGATAGCTAAGCTTTAGCAGGAATATGCAAAAACTTTTAGGCGTTGCCGAGTTTGTCATGTATAAGCATTGGCGTAATTAGAATTTTTGTTTGGAATGAGTTAATCTCCTGAGTTTGTTAATGGTAGCAATGGGCGATACCAAGCGAGATTAACTTTTGCGAAATTTAGGAATTTAAGAATTTGTGATTTTAAAAGTTTCCAACTTTTCAAATTTTTATAACATTTTATATTTTATTATTTATTGCAGGAATCAATCTATTTTTAAAAGTATGTAGGTTCTCCCTGGACATTACTAAGTTACGCCAATGTGTGTATAGGTCCAGGTTGCAGTTCTTATTACAAATTAACCAAGGCGGCCTGTTTTCCTCTTCTTTTTATCTTTGGCAGAAGTCTGACTTATCTGTGCCAAGCAAAAAGAGTAGACTGCGCCTGGCGTAAAAAAATTGACTAGCGTATAGGATTATTGCTTGCAACGACCGATTAGAAATACAAAAGAGCGACGAACTTAAAGTCTATTTGCTACCGAAGATTATGAGACTTCAATAAGTAATTAGTAGGAGATTAGGTAAAATAGAAGCCGAGACAAGGAAATAAAAGGCGTCGGGATGCCTGGTTCTCCGGCACGCGCATGCTAGCCCCGTAGTGACGTCAGGGGGCGAAAAATCAATCCACCCTGCCGTACTGTACAGTGTGGCAGGACAGGGACATTGTATATCTAGCCAGCACGGTCACCGTCATTGAATTAGTCGAATTAATTGCCGTTTGCGTAATCGATCGTTCCCCGGTCAGTTTTCTTTCGACAAGCAATTTTATTTGCTTTTTGACTCAATTTTAAGCGGTAAAATCTGTTTCGGAAGAAAGGCATAACCTGTACAAATTACAAAGTTGAATTATCTTGATATGTTAAAAAGTTGTATCTAATTCAGAATTGTCGAGACACTGTTATTAGACTTATAATATTAGAGGGAGGATAAGTTTGCTTAAATCTGTACATTGTTCAGATTTAAAAGTCGTGAACGGCTGAAGTTACTTGAACCGAGTAGGGATGAAATAGACGACCCAATTTGAGCTTTTTAAGTCGCAAAGAATCTCTGATAAGTGTATTAAAAAACTACTTTTCGAAAGAATTTGTAGTAGTACAAGTTATATAAAACAATTGTTAAGCAGTATATTCAAACAGTAGTCTTTCCGGTTCGTTAAGAATTAGTAATTCTAATCTGCAAATTTGAAAGCTTTCTGAAACAAGTTAAATTATGCATGTGCAAATAAATTACAGATATAGTTAAAGATTAATGTTATGTTATATATAAATTTAACGTATGCTTACAAATAATTAAGCAATTACCTGTTATCTACACCGACGTTACGCCGTTTTTCGACACGTTCATACAAAATATGTTATTTTGTCGCCTCGTTTGTAAACCTCGCTGCACTTTTGCATGCTGATAACAACTGTTTTTCCGTCCCGACAAATGTCACCGACTGCAAGTATTGTACTAATACGTCAGAAGTCACTTATGAGTCAAGAGCAAACAATTGCGTTCGAAACGAACACAGCCAAAAGGAATTTCTACATTGCTGTTGTCCCGTGCCTCGACTTGGGTCATCATTAGCTTATCAAGTCTCTTAAACGAACACGAAAGAAGACTTACTTACTTACGTACGCCGAACGAGGCGGTCTTAAGCTTCTGGAAGTGGTCGTGCGATACAATTGCTAAGTGCAATAGTTTAGATCGTGTATAGGCTGATAAACGAACGCAGCAATTTGCTGCACGTTGCTTGCTTGCTTTAAATCATTCTGGACGGAGGCCAGTGTTGGGCAATGTTTAATGCAATTAACGATCGCAATTGAAATATTTGATTGCCGGTAGCAACCGAGGATTCAATTAGTAGAATCAGGTAGTCTAGCTTTGTGAAAAATAAATTATGCAGTGATTGCTGCTGAGGATCCCAAAGTACCAAAATTCTATTTATTGTATAAAAATGCTATATATTAAGAGTTATATAAAAATTCGGTATACCCCTTACAAAATATTACAATATACTTTGATACACACGACGCATTAGATCGTTAGATTAGATAATTCTAGCTTTCATTTCACGAAATTGTCCCGATTATACCTGTGCAGGAATTCAGAAGTGATTCATGGCGCTATCTGGAGGCAGACTTCATAAAGCGTTATCGGCTATTACAAAGTTCTTTTATCAAAAAGATGTACATGTACGAAGGATGTTAATTTTGTAGAATGTACTCATTTAATCGATATTTAATTGTCTGAAAGAACCCTGCAACCCTTCCAGTTCAATCAACAGCCTCGATTTAGATTCGGGCAGCCTCGCTTTCTCGTTTGTCCGGCTGAGTTTCTCCTCCCGCAGGAACCAGTCTTTATTCTTTTCGATTTTCTTCTTCCACGCGTCTGAAAGTATTTACTCGGTTAAGACAGCCAAAATTACAAGATTGATTATACAATTTCAATTATAGGTGAAAGATAGGAAGATTTGAGATACCATTGAGCTCATCGAAGGTGCCTGCTTGACCACCCCATTCGTTTGGCAGCATTACTTTATCCATGTACGGATACAATTCCTCTCCGCCACCGGTATGGATACGAAACTTCAAAATAATGACACTTAGAAAAGGAATTCCAGTTCGACAAATAAGTATAATTAAAATTACGTACTTTTTGAATAAGTCGCTCTTTGAGCAAAGGGTAAAATATGTTAAGAATATTCTCTATAAATGCAGGTGCATGGAGGAAGTGAACTCTATGAAGACGTAGCGGCATGCTATCTTGAACCGCCAACATCGATTTCCTCACGATACTCTGCGTTGGACTACATTTCGTGAAGTGGACCACGCTAAATCCCTGATGAGATCATTTGCAGATAAAGCAATTGTGTTCCAGTAATTAAACACTTGGGGTTTATATTATGGAATAATCACCGTATCACTTTATCAGACATTTACGTTCATTACGGAGCGCATTTGATAATTGCTAACAATATAGCGTAGTTAATTATTTTACAGATATTTTAAACAAGTTTGACAAACTTTAGTATAATAATTCTATGTATAAACGTATTTGTAGTATCGACTGTATCTTTAATTTCAATTTCTAGACGTTGATACCTGAAGATCGATGACCATAATATTGGATAGACAACGTTCTTCCATCAAACGCGTATCCAATACCATAAGAATTCTTCTGGATATCGCCTGAATGGAAAACTTCTCCACTGCAGTATTTCGCAGTCGTAAAACGCTCACGCGATGTCCATCCCTCGTCAATGACGGCAAAACGAAGTAATGTCTGCGGATATATTAACACAAAATACAATCAGCGGTTAATAATTTTCGTTATAAAAATCACATTAATTACATCGCTTCGCAGCACTCCTGAATTTCCTGTGAGAAAGGATCACGAACCGCAAAGAACTCCGGTATTGCTGTACGAACGCTGAAGTATCGCTCCAGAATCTGTTTGCATCTCTCCAAACTGTTCTTGCAGCCAAACAAGAATCTTTCTAATCTCGCGTCATCTGTAATTTGGGAAGAACTAGTTTCAAACTATGGTTGCGTATTATATGTGTAATACATCAGGTAATTGATGTGTTAATATATAATAATGAAATTTTAGAAATTGGACCCATGTGATTAGGCAGATGAGGTTGTTTCCTCAGCCACTCTCGTATTGCAGCTACGTCGCGTTTCCTCATTTCCGGATCGGGTGGAACTTCCTCGTTTATGCGTTTCTGTTGCTCGACCGTCGGCGGTAACAGCGTCATCCTGTAAAGGTAAATTTACCTTATCTAACCGGAAGTCTTGAAATGAACGGAACTCCGATCCTTAAAGAATTGTTAACAAAGTATGGAGTTCTCTTTTCCTTCTCGGAAGATTATCAGTTCTGAGCGGGGTTAAAACGTGGTAACGATTCTTGAAATAGTATTAAATATTGACACTTGTTGCGTGCGATCTTCCGTTCGAGGATAAAGTGTGAAATTCAAAAGCGTTTCGATTTTCTTGTGCAATGTAGAAGAATATAAAAGTTCTTGAAGATAGAAAGTACACGTTAGTTTCTTCCTAGAAACTCTTCTCACAGTTTTTAGATAATAAAGTAGTAATCTGTCATCGTAAACACCGATGAATCATAATTTATCCCTGATAAGTTTCCTGGCGTAGATTATGTACCTTCGACACATGCCGTTTACGCAAACCTTGAAGGTGAAACGATTCCCCGTTTATAAAAGAACGAACGCCACGGAAAAGAGATTCTACGTGAATAGAATTCTATATTGATTGAGTGTTGCATCACCATCGAATCTTGGGTGCAAACGTTTTCTGTATGTCGATTGGAGAAAGCTCGTTTTCGGACGAGTACCGTTTGGACGCGTGTTATACGTGATCGCAATTGATTAGGACCGGTGTGAATATTGAGAAAATGGCCATTCGCGAAGAGAAAGTATGATGGATGTAAACAATGAAAAGCAGAGGCGTGATTTCGATTGACAAATTCTGTCACTGATTCTGAAAGTAGATTTTAGCTTTTCAAACTTCTGAATTCTAAATGTTCGAGTATTTTATTATTACATCAATGTATACATTTACTCCTAATTCTGTAATCGAAGAAGTTTTTAATCGTGATATGACGACAAAATTCTGAGTATCTGCTTCTAACAGAAAACTTCTGAAAATTTTAAGCAACGATTGCTTGAACTCTGTTATTCTCTGTTTGCATGTACAGAACCGGATGCTAATTAAAATGGTCATCATTTAAAATACAAGGATCATAAAAATCTTCTTTAGATATTACTTGCTAATGACATGACCTTGTTGTTTCCTGGATATAGAAGATTTCTACAATACAATTTTATATTTTCTATATGACAAATTAGAATACTTCAATGTTAATAACAATTGGAGATATTATATCCTTCTTAATATATTTAAAGTTTCGAAAGAGTATCAGTATAGTTACAACTGTTATTGAATTAAACAATGAAATAAATTAGTAATACGATAAGTACAAGAGAAAATATTCTTGCTTTATATTTTTCACTTACCTAATTTCGCCTGGTAGTCAAAATAATTTATCGTAAATGATTCGACACTACACTTTGAAAGTAAATAGAATTACAAATGTGATAGATAGTAAAAATTGTCCCAAAAATGTTGTGCGTAGCGCATGGAGGCCAACGTTAAACTGCAGTATCAACTCGAAGCTGAAGAATTTTCTTGGTATGGTCTAGTACACAGTATTCCCCACCATTGTAAACTTTAAGACCACCAGAACATCCGCGTAGAAAGGCATATTAAATTTCTTATATAAAAGGGTTGTACGACACAAAAACTATAACTTGCGTAATGGTCGATTAATATTTTTATCTAAAAATATTCGTACATTTAAAAATGTTCCTCATTACAAGCACTATCTTTTATATTATATAGCAGAGTGATTTTCGTCAATTTTAAAATAAAAAATTATGACGCGATACTATCGAATCGTTCTTCAGTGACCGGTACGTGCACGGTTACAGTCTCAAACTTTTCTTCAACATGCTGTTCTAATTTCTTGTCATCATGATGGTGTTTATTATTGAATTCTTTAATAGCCATCCTTGTAGCAGACAAATCTACATCATCCTCTAAAATCTGTACGATCTTCTGCACTGTCGAATACTCCATCACCACAGCGGATTTCGTATCGTTGACTGTTTGAGAAGCTTCCGACATTCTTGCTGTTTCTTCTAAATCTCCGCTACCAAATCTGAAATCGCATGGTAGATTGATTGTCGAGCCACCTCTCCACGTGTTTAAATTAATATTTACATCGAAGACAAATCTTCCCCGTTGGGTATTTTATCCTGCAGCAGGTACTTCGTGTTCGACTTCGATTTCTGTCTCGAGTTCCTCCTCGAACTTCTGCTATCTCGATGAACGGTAGAATTAGATCTGTTACGATCTGCTCCATTCACGACGCTCTCCTGCCTTCCATTCCCGTTTCTCTTCGGCGATTTTCCGGGATGTGTCTTCATCTTCGACAGGTCGTGTTTCGCTGCTGTCGTGTCCTTTTTGAAACAACATCGATGACTTCGATATTGCCACCTATTGGGTATCGATTCGTTGCTGAAGAGAATGAAGCACAGAACATTCCGATAACATTGATTACCATAACGCGCAGGTTGTCACTGTCGAGCTGAACATGAAGAAGCAGTTCAACACTGTCAGTACAATTAGCGGTTCTAGCATGATGCGTTTGGATCTTCCTAACGATGATGATGATGGTTAGACCGAAATCGTGAATTTGGATACGTCTGTCAAACGAAACATTGCTGAAGACTCTGCGATTGCGGAATAAATGACGAGAGATAGAATCGACATGGATTCGATTACAAAAATACTTCAATTTTCCAGTAATTTAATTATCTCAATAATATATATTTAACAGAATTATTCGTAATTTATATCGTTTAATGATTTCTGAAGTAAATGAAATGAGAGACGCGAAGCTCAGAGTGTTAAATATTTGAACAAATCTTCGAATCCTATAAATAAATAGCAGGGGTCCACACAATCCTGGTCCATATACCTCGTGATCGATACCAAGTCCCTAACGAACCGCACGCAAATATTATCTCAAAAGGATCTCGGCAATTTGTCCCAGATTCCAAACGTCCTTTTCCCATTCATAATGGTTGCATATTTTGCAGGTAATGGTGGCAGTATAAGGGAGAAACGTACAGATTACCGGTAGCTGTCGACAGGGGAAGCAAGTCGGTTAAACAACCCCGCAGCGACGTATACCTTTTCTCTCCAGGGGTTCTCGCTTCAGAGAAGACAGAAAGAGAATACAAAAGCCACGTAACCGCAATATCAAATGGAAATATCGACGCATCTGTGTGACGAGATATAATGATGATATTACGTCCTGTGGACTGTGTCACCGCGTTTTTCGGCTGCGGTGGTTTTGTAACAATGAAACAGACCACCCTTAGCGAAGTCACACGTTTTCACTACCTGCTGCCTACTTTGCTGTGAATTTTATTTCTCGCCAAATATGATTAAAAGTTAAACTTTATTAATAAACGAGGGATGAATGTAAAAATTGTATACGTGAATATTTTGAGTGGTGGTAATCTATGATAGATTTGCAAATGCGTTGTATTTTACATTCTATATATTTTATTTTCTACGTATTGTATTTCTTCGTATCAATTTTTCTAAAGGTCTTAAATTGTTATTACGTTACCTTCCGAAGTGTTGTCTCATTTAGAAGCGTGCGAAAATGGTCGTGGAATCGAAACTCGTGAATTATCGCCACTCTTTCAGGTGAAAGACGTTTTCCAAAACGCTTGAAGATTCTTTTCTATCTTGTGAAGAGATTCGTCCCACGTATAATATCGCGGTCACTTGTCGTTCTATTCAGTAGTGACCGCAGACTTTTTCTTTACGAGGCGTCTCTCGGTTGGAAAGAGCGACTGGTTTTCCACCTACCGCCGTGATAATACGTGTCACGGCTATTTTTCGTACATCGAGTGTCTGTCTTTCTTCTGGCTCACCTAATTTATTGGTTACCCTCTTTGTTGAACAAGACCACACAACTCGAACGACACTTTTATGTACTCTATGACAGTTGCCATCTTTTTCTTTTCTTCTGGTTCTCAAGCTATGTTAGCGTTTATTCAATTTATCTTGTTATAATTAATAATATATACTTCTTGTACAATTATATTAAGAAGTTAGTTTGCATATTTTTTATATAATTTTCAGTCTATTTATTTAATCGTTCGTACATTTTAGTAATTTGTCATAAGAAGATAATTGTCACTTTTAAGAGAATAGCAAAATAATAGCAAACCACTGTATCCAAAAATTATTCGTGACAAATTACGTATAAGATCTTTTAGGATTCGATCGAAAAGCATTAGGAGTTTTCATTCAAGTAGTTTAGGAACAGGTATATCCCAGGGCACGACAGGTGCCCATCGCGCCCTTTTTCTGGGCGTGGATATCTTAACACTTAACCATTGATCCATTTCAAAGTAAATAGCCCTTCGAAGGAGCTGGCTAACGGTAAATCATTGATTTCTCAATATATCCACATCGTTTCTATTCGTGAATGCCTGTAGTTCATAAAATATATTTTATCTCGAAAGAAATATTTTCTTCAAAACTGAACAAATTTTATAACGCGAAGTTAATTCGTGCCATTTAAGTAGGATACGGAGAAATAAGATTATTAAACTATAAAACTTTTTGATCGTCACAAAATAAGTTAACAAAGAATCTGGAATGAAATCAACTATTCTTCGCGATCAATTTCCTTCGAGCACAAATAAATCTCACCTGTTATTTCTTATTTTTTTGTAGAACAAAAAAAGCGAGGATCCTTCTATCTTGACGCTTTCATCCTCGAACAAACAGGACGTCAATTTGGACCCAAAAAATCTCTGAAGCGATTCTCACGACCGAAGTCAGCAGTCAGGTGCGTATCTGAATGGACCCGGAGGCATCGAACCATTCACCATTTTTTCCAAAGCACCAGAAATGACCACCCGCCCACTGGAGCCCCGTCTTCGATGCCAGAGAATTAAGAAAAAAATGCGGAGCGACGCAGACAAAAGAGTTGAGTTCACGAGCTGACATCGAGACGAAATTTGGGGAGGGTTCGAGTTGCTTCGATGAAAAATTGTAATTCCTTTACGGTCGTTTCAAGAATCCTCATGGTTCAGGTATGTGCATAAAGCAGCAGACGCATGGTACGTCATTTTCAATGACAAAAATTGGACTTTACGTTAACTCGTTCACCGTCTCTTTTTCTTTCTACTTTTTCCAGAAGCCTTTGACTGTCGTTCAGGGACATCTTTGTTCGTCGCTGGTACAGTCGTACATTGCAACAGTTGGGCTTGCTGCTCGATGTACTCCAATCGCTTCTTCGTTGACCAAGGACGGGGTGTTTTAAATTCAAAATCGATGTTGTACCTCTTATCGCCCATGACACTCTGCTTCCTCATCCTTAACAAGAAGATGTTCGGATTCTCTTTCGGTTTAACAGGTTCGACTACCACTTTTTTCGAATTCTTATTGCTATTATTGTTCTCATCTGGTTTTTCCTCTTCTGGAGGCGCAGGATACAGGGTTACTGTTTGGTTTCCTGAACTCTGTTGCTCCGTTTCATCGGGTGCGACTTGTCGGGCAGGAAGACCTTCTTCGTTGCAGTCACATGGAGGATCGTAGTCGGGTCTGCCAGGCTCCGTCTGCGTTCTGATCACTACTCTATTGTTATTAATGATTGCTTCGATCTCTTTATACGGCAGACCCCTATCCGCGATGTCCGAACGAATTTTACTAGGCCTTTGATAAGCGTCTGAAGGTTTGATAGGACAACATTGCAAAAGTTCGTCGAATGTTGGAGTTTCAGGAATAACTTCTGAAGGAGTTGGAGACTTAATTGTCACTTTTTTGGAGGCGCAACAGGGTGAACAAGGAGGTTTCTCCTTCTTTGGTGGACACCCACATTTGTACGTTGCTTGGATCATCTTTGTTCTTGTTCATCTTATCATTCTATAACACAAGTTAAGTTTTCTGAAGTGATATAATAAGATACCATTTTTGAAAAATATGTTACGTTTTCAGAATTCGGCATAATGAAAATGAACCTATGGAGTTTATGTAAATTTAGCGGATGATCGGAAAAGGTGCCATGATGGCGAGGTTGGCTGTACACCATGAAGATATTCGATTCTCACAACATCGTGAACGATGCACAAATCGATCCTACGTCCATTAGCCAAGTCTGTTTTAACACGCTCCGTTAACCCACATTCTTCATAAAACATGCATTAAACTTTCGCTTCTAAATTTCAAGTGTTACTCCGATCAATCTTAATTAACAGTAATCATCACTTTCAAACATGTACGCCTGTCCTCCTATGCCACCGGTACACTGTGCTCCACCATGTCCACCACCTCAGCAATCATCAGGCGACTCTTCGTCGAAATATTATCGAGAAATCGGAACAATCATGAACAGTAATCAATTGATAATCCGTATGGAAAGGGACAAGAATAAATCGAGGAGGAGTAAGAACTGGGATCCACCGTGTGACTGCGACGTGGTCGAAATACAGAGACCCTCCAGTAAAGAAGGGCCTAAAATATTGAAGGGAGCCAATAACAATCGAATCTTGTTTCGTGTACAATCCAAGTCGCAGGTTGGCAAGAAGTACGTCGAGAGTGACAGACCACAAGCCATTTCTTACGAGGTAGTCTCGCTTTGATCTGTTACATTACTACTATCGCAAATAATAATTATTGTTCTCTTTTTAATCAGGTTGGTCGATGCAAAGGTGGTCCTAATTCTAATGACCAATGCAGAACCTTCACAATATTTCCTGTGCTGGATGGTGCAGAGTCACAGGAAGTGCACACGGATCGTGTTACCGAAGGCAATGAAAACGTGTTTATGTTGAGGGTGAGAAAGAAGACTGATTCTGTCGAAGATCCGAAACGAAATATCGAAGTCGAGGTTCGAACACCGAAACCACCGACCCCTTAATCATAATCAAAAGCACAAGGATTTGGAAAATTTGGAAAATTTCAAGTACAGTAACAAACCCGATGACCAAGAAGATTAATCATTCAATCGTACGTCTTTACGGAAAAAGTAGAATGACTAAATATGTACAGCGTTTTCCTTTTACTTCTTCGGAAAGGGAAAGAGTTAGTAACATTTCTGAATGAATATTCAAACAGAAAATTCTTCAATGAATTCAGCAAAACGTGAATGAGTAAAGGAACACGAGTCAGCCTTCTGTTTGCTTATTCATTCTGTAGACCAACCATTAATAATTGCTTCGTTACGGCCAGGCGAACTATCTTCAAAGTCCTCCTTTCCATTTTAGCCGCACGAAGAAGAAGCCTACAGTTACTCATTGAAGAAAACGAGAAAACTTTATGACGATTGATGACGTGATGCTTTAGTCAACCAAGAATCTAAGTTTTAATAAAAAGTTTATTTATCGGTAATAAAAATATCAGATACCAGACACTTCGTATCATAGTGGATAATCCGATTACTAATAAATACAATTTTTTAGTTTATTTTTCCAGTTGAATTGTCTGTACATAAAAACCACAATATATGAACCACTAAAATGATAGAAATCGTATGACTAATTTTGCAATGCAATCAAACACGAAAGTTAAATTGTTTCTTCTTTCTCATATGTTTTGAAGGAAAGAAGAGATGTGGAAAAATGTCGACAACGATTCTCACGACCGAATTCCAGAGTTAGGTGCAAGTATCAATGGATCCATTCAGGATTTTCAGGATTCTTTTGCAGGAGTGGCCACCCGCCTACTGCAGTCCCATTTTTTAACGTCAAGAATTGAAGAAAGAAGAAGAAACGTAGAACGTCGAGGTCGTTCAAAAATTCAAAACTATTTTTGTACGTACAAGGAAAAAAATACTAATAATCAATTCGAAAGTCCTCGTGTAGTAATTTCCATTTATAACACATCTCGCCTTGAAGATACTTCAAAAATTCGATCACCTTGCAAAGTCAATTATATTTAACATAAATGAATTTGTTTGGCGGTATTTAGTTATAGTTTTCGAGATAATAACAGATAACATAAATTACAGAAACACTCATCCAAGCATTGAAATTGTTACTTTCGTATATTAATATTCCACACGGGTGCAACTTATCGTGGAAAATTGCTTGAAAATTTCATGCCAGAAAGGAACGAAGAAGAGGAGGACGGAAAATCGTGATACTAAAAAATTACCTGATTATATGACTAAGCTGATAAGGTAACAGATAAATACGAGTTTGCACGTTCGCTGAACATTCATTTACACGGCAGCAATTGTGGGTGGCAGAACATATTCAATCATGTTGAAGTTTTTGTGTTTCGTTGCTGTGACTGCATTTACGATCGTCGTAACTTCGGCTATCGACTGCGGAAATAATATGTGCACTGCTCGCGGTACGCAGCACACGCTCTGTTTGTATCCGGTGAGTATTTTAACATATTCTAATATTTACACGTGTTTGTATCCAATCAGTATTAACATTTTAATATTCAGCTAATGTTGTATTCACTCATTTATTTGCAAGCGAAGATTTTATATCGGTATTCAATTTTATTTCAGAATAATAAACCAGCAGCAGCCTGCGGCAGAGTGATATCCGTGGGTTTTACAGACAGCGAGAAGCAAGAAATAGTTCATGCACATAATTATTACAGAGCCCGTGTGATGAAGGGTGAGGAGAAAAGAGGAAACCCAGGACCACAGCCTCCCGCGTCGAACATGCAAAAAATGGTGCAGTAATGAATACAAAAATAAAGAGAATCTGGAAATTTCAAAAATTTGCTTTGGTTCCAGGTTTGGGACAACGAAATAGCCAATATAGCTCAAAGATGGGCGAATCAATGCAAATTTGGCCACGATTCGTGCAGAAACGTTGGTAAGATAGCAAACTAAGTATCTGCAGTTTTGTAAATTTTTATTTCTTATTTCACGATAATTTTATTACAGCCAGATTTTATGTCGGACAAAACGCTGCTATGACATCGACCACCGGAACAGTTACTACTAAACCAACCAACATAGTTGAAATGTGGTACAACGAGGTGAAGGTCATGGATCGTAATCAAGTTCCTCGATTCACGTAAGTCTTTATCATCTTTTTGCAATATCAATGCACAATAATGTTTAATCAATCCAATTAGGGGCAAGGATTTAAGCAACGTGGGTCATTATACTCAGTTAGTTTGGGCCAAATCCAACAGACTTGGTTGTGGTAAAATTATATATCAAACAGATGCATGGAAGCATTACTATGTGGTATGCAATTATGGTCCAGGAGGCAATGTTTTAACCCAGCCAATATACGATATTAAAAAGTAATAAAGAGCTACTCAAATGTGTCTTTGTTCCAATAAAGAGAAACAACCAGTTAATTAATCAATAAAGGGAGAAAGACATGAAAGTTGATCTTTTATTTATAACCTGCTGTTTTCAATTTTGTGAGAGTAATATCTTCCGCTTGCTTATGTTTAACAAAATAACTTTATATCGCATTTGCAACAGAATGCAACGAAGGGTTAATTACACTGTATATTGCATTCTGGCAATATTTTGAAAGTGTCAGACTGCTATTGGCCCCTACCTAGTTACATCAATGACTGTTCAAATTTACACAAACAACACTATCGTAACGTTTGCTCTCTCGACAATGTCCTTTTCTTCGTTCATAAAATATCCTGCCCCTGATACGTCTGTTGCAACGTCTCCTACGAAGACAGCCTTCTCCATTGTGGACGCAGCAACGAATGTCGATATTCTTTCGATCGGAGGACCTGCGAATCCATATATCAGGAAGTCAACGCACCCCGGGTGTGCCGTGCGTCCCGCCGAGCACGAGGATGCTGCGTCGTCGGACACCTGAATCGTCCGAGAAACGTGAACAAGGAAGTTGCGACTGCTATTAGGCACTAAACGGTTTTTAAGCGGGACAGGAACGCATCGAGTGTCAAAAACGCAACAATGACGTGGGCAAACATTCTGATATACAGGACCACCCGTAGTTTTACGCCAGGGTGCGTAGTTCGATGCAGATAATGGCGAAGATCGGTATTCAATCGTGGAGGAACTGAAATTGCGAGATTGACGAAATAGAATTGTGCGAATCGAACTTGTAAAAAAATCTATGGTAATCTTAGCGAAAATCGGTAGTTGCAGAACGTTATGTTATCAATTTAATGTACTGTCAAATCCAAGAATTCCCATACAGTTCCGTCGGCAGCAATGTAACTAGAGTCCCGCTAAAATTAAAGACAAACGATATATTCATCTTCGTACGCAAATATTTGTTCTTTTCCCGATTAGATGCGAATTGTCGTCACTTTTTTATCTCTAACGAAAGAAAATATTGAACTGTGTACAAACGAAACGTCAGCAAGCATCTATTCGCGAAGCGTTGAATCATGCTGAATAAACGTTACGGTGTTTTCATAACGAATCGATTTTTTCCGTAATGATTCTAATTTATTTGTTTAATTAAAATATCCAAAGATAAAATCTGTGTGAACCGTTTTGTCTGTACTAATAATATAAAAATGGCGACAGTAAAGTAATTCTACAAAGCAATAATTGCGAAATAGCCGTTTGTTTGCGGTGGAACGCAAATAACCGCATAAAGTAATAAACGCCCTCTCAAATCCTGGTATTAGTTCGTCAAACTATCAAGAGAACCGGCGTTGTAATCCGAGATTAGAGAGGCTGAGGACCGTTGTAATCCCGGACACGTTTAACCGAGCCAACCCCATAGAACCAAAGTCACCCTCTTACTACTGACGTTTGGGTGACCCACGTTTCATGAAGACAAAGGAGGGAAAAGTACACACATTGTCGTGGAAAGGCAATTTGGAAGAGGAGAGGGAATTATCGAGAGTCATAGAAAATGATAAAAGTGAATATACAAATACAAAATTGACGAAATAAAAATGCGATGCACCTTGTTATAAAGTGTAAAGCCTAATATGTAAAATGATATTCACAGAGGAGAGAATTGCAATGTAGAAGTCAGGAAGCTATACTGTCATATATCAGTAGATCAGTAGGAGGGTGTCAACGAGCTCGAACGAATGTCACAGCAGGGTATCTGCTACCCTGCTATGGAACCGAAAATCTGCGTGACCGAGTGTGAGAATCTAATGCATTTAGTGCTAAACTTTCTCAAATTTGCGTTAGCCAATTCCTGACCTCTCTCGAGTGACGTACTTTTATCTTATCGCATCGTGTTTCATCGCGTGCACTATTTATCTTCTTTGATTGTTCTACTCTACTGAGATTATTAACTGACTCATGTTGATTACAATTAATATAGTTTTCAAACGTTATCTCACGCACAAACTTTTATACTTGTTCGTGCAATGTTAGTATAATGTTGCTAAAAAATCAGTTGAGTAAATAAAGATAATATATCAGATACAAAATAAATACAGCAGATAAAAAAATTAACAGTGTTATTTTGTATAATAAACTACTACATTTATCCAATACAATTATGCTAGTATTAGTTGTATAAATGAATTGAAAATTACTAAGTATAATAATTAGCAAGAATTATAGTCGTTTTGAAATTGTAATAGTATTGCTTTTGATACGTTGTCGAGATGATGCGGCAACTAAGGGAAAAGAATAATTGAATTGCAGTTTTTTCCCTGCTGAAATCTTGACACCGCCCTTTTAGGACTTCTCACCCCGAAATCAACCGAAACATTTATATATGCGACCACGAGCTGTCCCCCAAAAACGTATTGCGAGAAGAGTGTAAAAAAGAAGACGGAAGAAGGGCAGAGATAGGTTTGCACACGGTAATCGTCCCTTCTGTGCAGCGAAAGGGCTCAACCCCTGTTTCTGTACCAGCCCTTCCCTGACAGCCACCCTATAACACGAGAAGGGGATTCCCTATTCTTCATAGGGTTTGCAGAGGGTTCTACCGACGCCATCTTATATTTAATTGTTGGGAAAATGGTGGACTTCCCTTGAATTTCAACAAATGTGTAGTTATCAAAACTATTTTTGCATTTTAACTTAATTTTGACTAATTTTAGGGTAATTTTTAGAAATAGACACAAATTACTGGCAAAAAATGCATAACAATTTATTCGTCAATTATATTACAATCTCCCGTATATATCTATACATAGATATTCTCACATTTGTTACAATATTTTACAGTCTATAAATACAGTCTATTCTCATGACTAGTACCGATAAAGTCAGTATCAAAAATATTTCTTATCGAATAATATTCGCAAATGATTCTTCATAAAACGAAGAATCCTCGTATCAAGGCAACGACAATTTGTACTATGTGAAACATCCTAATAAATACATATATAATAATCTAATATTTACAATATAATAGATCACAATAATCTTCGAGTACAAAATATATAAAATCTCTTGGTCAAACTGTATAAAATATAAAAGAAGTTGTAACATCATCTATCGATTTCTATAAAATACACGGCGATTCCATCGCTGTGATCAAATTCGTGTCAAAAGGGATACAAATATGGAGGAAATGGAGGAGCCGGTGGGAGAACTTGACCGATTGCGAACATTCCTAGCGCTGCTGCCGACACTCGATAAGGATCTCGATTTTCGTGCGTTCTCATGTGTTTCTTCAGATGATCCTTTCTTCCGAAATGTTTTCCGCAGACTATGCATCCGTGTGGGCGAACTCCTGTGTGTATTCTCTTGTGCCTCGTCAGCTCTTCGTTTCTGGTGAACGATTTCCCGCAACCCTCTGCATCGCATTTGAACGGCCTCTCACCTGAAATTTCGAAAATTCGTTTAAATCATTGAAATATTTTATGCTTTATTTAAATTTAAATGAAATCCTCATGGTATTCAAATCAGACAAAAAACTGTAAACCGTTGACGAACATAACAGTCATGTACTTAAAAAAATTCCACAGGTAGGTTTTTCTATTAACAGCCATTGGCGTAATTATAATCTTTTTGAAGCAAAATTAAAAAACCTAATAATTCGAAAATTTGAAGATTTGAAAACTTTGGTAAATTTAAAATCTAATATGAAAAGTGTTCCACGTGCAACGCCCCTAACGCAAGAAAAAGGTCCCCGGCCATTTCAGACGTGTCCGATCCATCTAGTTCTCTGGTCAATTACGCCAATGTACACAGCCCGAAAAATTCCAAATGTTTATGGTGCAAATGAAGGTGGAACTCACCAGTATGTATACGAATGTGTCCCTTGAGCTGCCCGTTATTGCTGAACGCGACGTCGCAGAGTTCGCACCTGAACTTCTTTGGCCGCAACTTCTTCATCTGTTTTGCGGCCGCGTCTTGTAAGTGAACTCTCTCAACGGCCTGGTCCATTCTGGACGCATACATCCCCAACATGGCTGGAAAATTGTACATCAGCGAAGCCGGATGCGGATTTGACGAGGAAGATCCGCTCGCCAGACCATACTGGTGGAGAGACACGTTTGGCAGGTACGTATTCTGTTGCAAGGTGTTCACCAGACATTCATTGTTCGCCATTTGGATTCCAGATTTAGAATTACTGCCCATCACGGATACGCAGACGGGATCTGCGGATATGTCGCTGTCCGAGGGACTTCCGGTACTGATTAAACCGGAAACCCTGCCATGGTCCTCAGCAGCGCCACTGCCTTTTTGTCTAATCGCATCTTCAAGTTCTCCACGGCTTCCATTTCCTCTTCTAGACGTCGGTTCAACGCCTTCGCCGGCTTCATCGGCGTTCCACGGTCGGAAGAATCTTGTGCATCCTACGTCGCACATTTTTATTTAATAGAAAACGTTATTTTAAAATTATGAACAATTTTCTACACTATTAACGTGCGACGATTCGAGGACCGTCGGCGGCTGATCTTCGGACGTTACGCTACGATAGAACTACGTTTCAAAGCTACCGACGGTTTGCAATTGTATAACAAGAATTTTTCTACGTGCAAGTTTCTTCCTTTCGAGGTGACACTATAGGCATGGAACCTTGAGCACGACTAATCCAACAAACTTCACCCCAGTGTTATATAGTAGTAGTGGTTCCCACCCTCTGTACGGGATTGGATGATTCGGTAGCGAAGCGAGCCCTCAAGAGTGGATGAAGACCGAGTGGTAGGGGTGCCCTTCTTCGCGAAGGGCAAAGGTGGGTTTTAGAGGGGCCGATCGAGGGCTCGCTTAACCGATACGCAGCCCCTTTTGTCGTGAATTAATCGGTCACCACCGGCCACGGGGCTTTTGCCCTTTTGTCAGGGGCCTGCCGAGGGCACTAGAAAACCGACAGAGAAAGGGAACCACGGGAAATGGAGGAAGCAAAGAAGTTTCAACGATATATCGACGCTATTCAAGGGTACAACACCCTATTTTGACCATCTAGTCCTCCGGACTCTGTTTCGCGTTCACTCGACTGCTTTCCTCCATTTTTAGTTTCTTAGTTTATTATATATTTTATTATTATTTATTTCGTTCTGTGCCTATAGTGTTTTTTAAAAAAAAAGATTTTAGTTGAATTTATAATTACGGCCATCGAATCGAACTATGTTAGATTGGTACCTTTATTCTGGTAAATGACTCGTTAATTTATTTGAGAAGAAATTTTATAGCTAACAATTCTAAAGTATTACAGTTATTTTGACGTTAAGTATTTCAATTAAGTAACCATGTTCAATTTTAAAGACGTGACTGTGTAAAATGATTGACAAGAATTTGTAACGTGTTATAGAACAGTGACAAGAATCTTTTAATTTTGACAACTATAGCGAAAGATGTACAGTAAAATATGACTTTCTTTGTGATATTATAAACACGTTGAAATTGATACTTTGTAACGTCAATTGGCTTTTCGAGAATATAATTGTAACGCGAGATTTGTATCTGTATCGAAAATAATGTACCAAGCACAAAATTAAATAAAATGAGTTCAAGAGAATGAAGTTTATCATTTACGAAAACCTTGAAATCCTTATCCCGACGTAAAATCGAATTTAAAAGCGTTAGATTATAAATTGTTTATACAAAATGGAGAGCACTTTGAACATAATAAAACGGACAGTCTGATTCTCTGTATGGGGTATGTAGCCAGAAGTTACGAGGGTGGAGTTTGCAAAAGCTCGTCGTTGATTTATTGTAACACTCGAGGTTAAGCTACCCTTCAGAAACGAACAGTCGGACCTCCACCTATTTCCACCTATTTCCTTCTGCACCCTTAGCAATACGCGGTACCCTTCTGTCAAAACGATATTCGTACAAAACCGGCTTGAAACCATTGATACCCGGCTCCCTTTTGTGATACTCGTCAGAAAATCATCGCCGAATTTCTGTCCGTTTCCACGATGCAATACATTATGCAATAATTCGATACGCAAAATTTCTGGATTAAAAGAAAAATTAAAATCGAAGAAATTCCTGGAGTAAAATGCGAGAGAGAAATGTTTAGAGACTCTTGTCTGAACATTCAAATAGAATTAAAACAGATTTCAAACAAACGAGAATATCCAGGAGATTAAATTTGAAGATTCGAAGTTGTTCTCTTTCTTTGCTGAACGTTCGAATGTAATCACGTACGCGAAATTATTACTCGATAAAATTGACTATGAAAATCAAGAAAATTAAGGGTGATTTTAACGAACACGAGAATTCCGAATTATTCTTCCGAACTTTTGAAGAGAATCACACACGCGAAATTATTTCTCGATAAAATTGACTGTAAAAATCGAAGAATTTAAAAGAGATTTCTACGAACAACCGAGAATATTCGAGAGATCCACGAAAATTTAAAGGCCAAAATATTTACTGTTCCTTATATACGCATGTAGGATACGTTAGTTTCGAAACTTGTTTTTTTTCTTTCGCTGTACGACAAGAGTCGTTGGGTATAATTTTATACATGAAATTAAACTCGATGATTATTTAACTAAAATTTGTCATTATACATAAATATTAAAGTGTATAATTATTGTGTAATTTTACACATTCTTACATTTATTAATATTTGGTATAATTTTTTTTACCTAAATATTCATTACAAAATGCAACTAAAAATGCAAGTGTCTCAATTCTGTAGTGAAGCTATATTTTTATTATTTAATACTTTTTAACAGTCGTTAAAGATTCTGTAACGAAGAAAGTACGATTTTGAATTGTCAGAAAAACACTCAACACCCGAAGTAAATATTGGGTAGAAGAACAAACAGGTTTTTACATTTTAACAGCCTATTTCAAACAGACATGTTTCTAACACATATATCTAATATGTAAATAACGCGTTTACAATATTTAGTTCCCTAAAAATCTTAGGTATGCAAAATATATTTTGATCAAGTAGTTGAAAGAGTTAAATGAAGGAAAATCAAAGTCTCTCGATCTTTCCATGATAATTCAGAAATAACGGACGGTGAATTCGATGTTATTAGATGTTCACAATACGTATTCATGACAATTACATTTTACAAGGACATAGATCGCGGTTAGCGTATTCAAAACAGCACAGCAGGTTTCGTTGGCATATCGTATAATTATATTTGCTGGCCTACATCTACGAGATTATCGATTGTTATAATCCCCATAACGACCGTAAGATTATATCTATTGATCTTTGAGTATTTACCTGAGAAATACTCGAATGCAATTTTCAACTATTAATTCGTAACATTGCTTTAAATAAAAATAATAAAAAATTACGTTGCAGTTAACATTGCCAAAAGACATCAGAGACAATCACAGTAAAGAACAATACTCTCGAATTCGACAGAAAAGCCATCCATCTTCAGCTATTTGAAAAAACTTGCACAAAATTTACGTAAACACTTAAACATCGTAAAGCCTTGAAAAGAATGATTTCACGAGATCTGTAAGAAAAACACGATCATCGCAAAGGAGCTCGAACCTTTATCGCGAAACAAGAGGCGTTTTCTTTGACAAAGTCAGAAATCTGTCGGTGTTTTTGATGGATGACTCGATTCGAAAATCAAGAAAACCGATCCGTCTTACTTTTCCGTCTGACCGTCACAACAATTTGTGGCTCGGAAATCCTCGTTTTATATCGAAAAATTTGCTTCCGTTTCTGTGTCAAGCATTCAAAAGAATTGCGAGGGTTTCGACCTTCGTACGATAAATCCGTTTGGAACGTTTGTAACGACCTTGCAACGAACGAAATAATAGACAATTTGTATCGAAACACCTATGTATGGAAACGTTTGGAGTATATCGAAAACTTTCTTCTAAAATTATTTCATATTTGCAGATATAACTTCCATTTTCTCTATTCTAATTTCGTGGCTCGCTCGTATGTTGTCTACCCACCGACAAAAAACGCGGTACCTCGTCAGATGTTTTTGTACCTCTGTCAGTAACGAATGACAGATCGGTTATTGTTCCTTCTAATTTTTTTCCACGGAACGGCAATTTTTTCCCAAAAATCTGTCTCGAACGTGGCGATTAAAATTGAACGATCGTTCGTTACAGTGTCATAGAATAACAAGACAGTAAATTACCGATTGATCATCGATCACGAGAATTCAATCAACTCCCCAAAGATTACATTCCTTGTTCCGCAAACAGTTACTTTTCTTCTAAAATTTATTAAAAACTCTCTTTACTTGTATTTATTATATCTTTGATCAGTAAGCAAATTTACTCATCATTTTTAAATTCACTTATCTACGTGTTCATCTTATTAATACAACCATCACACTTATATCTTCTCCATATATAAACTAAAAACCTGGTTACAACAAATCATAAAGCACAAGAAAATGAATGTTCCAAATAATTGATTCCAAGTTTGTCTTAAGAATAAATTTTGATGGTAAGCGAATAAAAGGATTAACCATGAAGTGCACAGGGCTCGAAGGCGATCGCGTCCGATGCAATCCACGACTCGCTACACGCTTGGATGCCCTTGGTGCCCCGAGTTCCCGAGGGTAACCAAAGGCAAGCCCCATAATAGCCCTCGAGCGAGACCCACCCTCCCGGTAAGCAGAAAAGCTTCGAAAGCGTGCACAACCGCAGAGTCGCCGCCCCTTGCATGGCGGGCTAAAATTTGATTATGCCCCTTCCACGTGGATGAACCCAACGGGATTCATCGGCTGGTACCCGTCAATGATTTATGCCATTTTTCCCCTTACCGCAAAGACAAGTTGTCTTTGTCATCATCCTATGATGAAAAAGCACGAGCGTATCCAAACGTGTGCATCCAACTCCCTTTTGTGGTCTGATACTTTTTGACAATGTGAGCTTCCGTGCTGCAAACGTTGCGGTTGCAAGCTTTAATTCTTCGAAGTGCAGAGTTGCAAATAATTATGGTTGCAAACACTCGAGGAGGGTTAAAATTTCGAGAAGAAAATTTTATTAAAAGGCAACTTGAAAGGGTTAAAATTGCGAGTGTTTAATTTGGAGAGATGGAAAGTGTAAGTAGCAAGCTTTAGAAGTGTAAGAATGAGTGGTTGCAATTCACATTAGAAACCGATAAGTATCTACGCGTATTTAGTAACGCCTTGTCAGTGTTAATACGGAGGATGATGTCAAGCATAACTGGGTCAAAGAAAAGCGGTCCATAAATTCGTTATGGTTTTCCATAGTAGCCAAGCTAGTTCAATACCTATACACATTTTCTAGAGGGTTCCGTGGAAATTAAGGATAGCGGAGGGTTGTCGCGTAACAAATCGCGTGATTTTCCGTGAACGACTAAAGTATCTTTGGAGAAGAAATATCGTGAACATTTCAATACATCTCCACTCAACACCGAAATACCAAAAACATGGCGTATTTATTAGCCATCAGAATTTTTAACTGTTTTAATAAAATAAAAGAATATCTTGTTCTTATAAATCAATCAAATAATGTCCCGTTACGTTAATTAAAAGCGCCATATTTTAATATAAGATCAATTTAAAAAGAACTGAAATTAGACTGAACTAAAAGTTTATCAAAACTAAATTACTTCATTTTAGTTTCTCTAAAATAAATTATGTCAAGCGTATTTGTTTTCAAAAGTCTCCTCAATTTTCTCGCAATTTTCACCGCGAAATTGCCAAAATGAAGCGTAGGGATCGATTCGTCTCATGGTCGTGGTATTTTCACGTGGATCTATTTTAGTAAAGGCGTCGAAGGATGACGACGAGGGTGTCAAAGAGGAAAAATTGGGAGGAGACGCCCCGCAGTTAAATTTGCACGCCGAATATTTCCGCCAAAGGGTTGCTCGGACAGTAAATATGCTAATTCACAATCGTGTCGCGGTGACCGGCATTCGCCGTCGGGGTGCTGTTTGTTCGGCAGACAGCGTTTATTCGGTGTCAAAAGTGCCGACACAGCTGCACCGACTTTCACCCGCTACAATGCACCTTCGTTTCTAATCAGTCGATCAATTTTTGCATGTCATTACGTCTTATAATTTCTTGCAAAAGTCTTGTGCACACTCTATTGTACAATTCTTTTTAAATTTAGAAAGAAGTTACATTGTAATTATACATAAAAGATGTTTGCAACACGAAAACGAATGCAACCAATATAAAAAATAATTGTAACTTTTATTTATTTAAGTAACATTAGTACCAAAAGTACATGTATCTTCCGCGGTCATATACGCTGTCATGTGAAAGAATCGTATTGTGAAACCGCAGAACGCGTGTGTACATATGCTGGCAAGAGAGGAAAGTGTGAAAAACGTCGTGGAACGGCGGAAAGAAAAGGTGAGGAATAGAAAAAGAATGGAAAAGAGGGACGAAGAGACACAGCACTCTTTTCGTTGCCGGCACGGGCCATCTGGCAGAACGATCTTTTATAGCATCATCTATCCTGTGTCCTCTCTTCAATGAAGGAATCACTCGCGTGGAAGTTGCTGGCCCTTTTGATTAATGGCTGACGAGATAAACCGTCCTCGGTTCCTCGATCACGACCACGATCAAAGAGAATCCATACACGCTACTGAATCGAATGCTTTCCGAAATATTGTGGATGTTTGCTCTTTGATAATGGCAATCAGAATTGAAGAATAGTTAAATGTTGCAATAGCGATTATTGGTCAAACTTGAAGGGGTTGAAATTCCAACATTCAAGTTGAAAGAGTTGAACAAATAAGTTTCTCAACTTGAGCGGAATAAACTTGTGAATATTCAATTCGCAAAGAAAGACGTTACCAAGAAATGCTCCAAAAAGTACTTGACTTTTCTCGTAGAGTCAGAAATCGACAATGGAGAAACAGAGCCACGCCCAAGTGCGGATGATCGAGCTGCGACCAAACGATCTGATTTTATTGAAACGCAAGAAACTAGCCCGCAGTCCATGGACAGAGAAGAGCAAGGTGTTGCTAACAACAGCTAGCTACAAGCAGTTCTCCTTTTCCACGAGTAAATTTGACGTTGACCAAATAAACACATTGAGGCCGGCTACGTTTGAAGTGGTCCCCGTTGACAGGATAACCGTGAACATCGGTGACAATTGTTCCGTCAGGGATTGTCGGCACCTTTTCAAGCTCCGATCGTTTGCCCTCGTTTCCTTTTCTTCTTCTTATGCCCCGCGTCCACGTTGCCAAAAACATTTCTTTCGGAAAAATCGAGATCCACCGCTGGTTTCATCACGGATACCTCAAAGAAGCCCGCTCACTATTATTTTCATTCACAACCAATTTTTACTGTGATTCGTAGAGTCCTTCTTTTGCACTTATCGTATATTGAAACTCCTTTTCTATAATTAAATCCATTATTCAAGTGAATTGAATTATTGTAATTAATTGTTTAAATAATAGTAATAAATTGCAAGCGTCGATCGTTGGATTGGAAGAGGTTGAAATTAGAAAGGGATAAAATTAGAATTCAAGTTTCTAGTATCTAAATTTTATTGCATAAAATAGAACACGAGCAGTAGTGTTCAAAAGTTTAATAGTCTATGTAATCATACATAATGCTTTCATTATTGGCTATAAATACCAATACAAGTGATAATCTTAATATCTATTATACAAAAGTTTCTACTTTCAGGAACCTTACCGATTGAAATAATACGTATCGAAAAACAAATAAGTAGATGATACACAGTTTCTACTTAATCTAACTTTTAGTAAATAGATTGTTATATCTATGTTTCGTGCGTTTTTAAATGTATGTTCAAAGTTGTTCTATTAATAAAAGCTTTGGAACATACTGGGCAAGAATGTGCGCGAGCCAGATGATATTTTAAGTGTTCATTGAGTTGAGCAATTGTTTTAAATGTTTTTGTACAAATATTGCACTTGTGATCCTCGTCGGCGTCTTTTTCTAAGTGAGTCCTCGTGTGTTTGTCTACTTCGCCCACGTTATCGAATTCCATAGAACACACTCTACAGCTAAATTTTACAGCACGAAGAATACCTATTTGACTACCAGTTAAAGGGCTAGGCACTGGGAATATGTTATTCGGGCTATCTCCAATACTGCATCGTAAACCTTCTTTACTTTTGTGAGAATTGATATGGTTCCTGTAAAAATATTTAAATATTACAATTTCTCGGGTTTTTCTGCGATAGGTTTTTATGGTAATAAAAATTACCTATAGGCTTGTTCATTTCTAAATGTGATATTACAAGTGACGCAACGGTAATCCTGTGGTTGAAGCACTTGTTGAGCTAAAGGTGGTGTAGTTACTTGCAGAACTGTGTTCTGCAATTTTATTGTAGGGTGAACAATTATACAGTGCTGTTTTATATCATCCTTAATTTCAAATGTTTCTGTACACTGATGACATTTATATGGATACAATGGATCTGTGCTCACATGCAGTCTCACATGTTTATCGTATGTCACTTGTGAATTGCATTCAGTCTGACATATATCACATACATAATGAGTTTTAGTATGAAAGAATAAAGATTGCAAAGATGGAAATGCTTTGTGGCATATGTAGCAGACGTTCTTTTCTTCTTGATTAGCGTTCTTTTTTATTACATAGTATTTATCGCAGTGTTCGCACTGAAAAGCTGGTTTCGAGTCGTAAACAGACTTTTTTAGCTTGCAACCACCCTTTGCACAAATTGCTTTCCCGTTAACTTTTTCTGAAGACTGATCTCTTTGGTCTATATTGATTAAATTTTCAAGAAGCGGGCTTTTCTTCATTATTTGTGCCAATGCCATGAGTTTCTTTGATTTTGGACAAGGTTTACCATATATTTTATCTATCTGTATAGTTAAACGATATACTTTGTTTCCCAGCTTAACATCTTGATATAATTCAGATTTTGAGTGGGCACAGTCATTTAATATTTCATAATTAGAAGATATGTCCAACTTATTTTCTCCATTCATTTCTTCAACCTACAATTTTATGATTGTTTTATAAATTTTTGATTTACATGTACAAAATATAAAGGAAATAACAATGCTTTACATTTTTTATTAACTGCACACCAGGACTTTGCGGAGGAGTCACTAAACTACGTGAATCATTGTCTACTTTCTTTTGCTTTAACAGAGGAGTTTTAGGTGATTCGGCTTCGAACACATCTTCAGCTTTACGTTTTCTTTGGTAATCTATAGATATACAGAGTAATTTTACAGAAAACTACTATCTATGTTAATACTACCTATATATTGCAAATTGCACCCACCCTCTGTTTTGTTGAAAATAGTTGGAACAGCATCAGGTTTCAATTCCTTTGAACTTGTAAAATGCATTTCTTCAAAGTGCAGTTCACAAACATAGAAAGGTTTATCGTTTCCAATGTTTTCACTTAACCTACAACTCTGTCTCCATTGATCCTTCTGCCTAGAAACATGAAACGATATTTTAAAATATGATACAATAAAATTTATAGACAAAAAGAAAGAAATTACTCACGCAACATCTTCAGGGCAAGGAAACAATAAAATCTCTTTACCATCAATTTTAGTATTTTCGTTTGAAAGACAATCAGGCGCTTCGCAGGTTAACATTATATTAATAAAATATGCTTCTGTCAAACGTGTCGTTTTTTAACATCTAACAATTAACTTGTAATTAGATTACATGTAAATAAAACGTAACCTAAAATTTCGTGCTTTGCTAACAAATATTGAATTTAAAATTACATATAACATAAAATCTATAAGCAGTAAAAAGAGAAAGTTAATAAATAGATAAAAAGCAAATTTAAAACACATTAAACTACAATAAACATATTTTACGATGTAAATAGCTGCTTACGCGAAACCTAACCAAACGCGATTTACTTGCGTGCCACTTGTCATTCTAGGCTAACAATTAGACGATTAAAATGAATACTATAAAATGATAAAATGATAAACTAGGTCTGTTTGATTGAGGCGCTCCGCGCCTAATCTAACGATGTTGAGCGAGAGAGTAAATTTCACGCTAAAACAAAAATAGTCAACCGTGTCATTCGGTTGAATTGGTTGAGTGGTGCAAGAGAAAAACGTGGACAAAAAAGTTGAAAAGTCAAGTACATAAGCGCGACTAAATTCAATTTTGCATTAAAGTCTACGGGGATATGGTTTTTCGGTAATTATTCCTCAGTGGCATGCGTGGGCGGCGCGCAGGAGGAATATATACGATAATGAGTATGCAAAAACGTTAATTACTCACTTTCTGAGCACAGTCTATGAACTTTTATGATTAAAGAATGGTCAGCAATGCATTATTTACATGGTTCGATCATAAAAGTTCAAAAATAATGTTCGGGTAATGAGTAATTAATGATTTTGTGTCATCATTGCGATACGTACATGAGCCGCCTATGTCAATTCTACTGCGCATGCAAAGTGCAATATTTCGGCACTTTGACGACGTAGTATGGTTCCTGAGGCATTTAGAAACAAATTTCTATTAGGGTTT